GCCCCCCCCCCCCCCAAATCTCTGCTTCAACTCAGAGAATTCTTTCTCCAGCTACGCATTCGCGACCTACAGACAAGCATTCTTAGCCTTCAGCTCGTCCTGCTCCTTCTCAACCTTCAGCTCGTCTTGCTCCTTCTCAATCTTAAAGAGCTATTTTTTGAGCCTTGCTTTCCCTAATGTAAACTCCAATTCAGCAGTTGTAAACCTTATCTTACTAGAGGAAGAATCTAACGACTACAGTGATAGACTGTCTCGTTGGCACTTTTTTTCCCCTTGAAGAGGTGGCAGCATCCTTATCTGACCTAGTTGGAGAAGAGTCTACATCAATGACAGGAGGAGGAGGATATGAAGCAGCAACCGAAGCAACGATGGGTTGGGACCAACCCCAAATTGAAAGAGATTATGAGGTGTGACAAGAGTGGAAAAGAGAGTTGCTTCAATGCGAATAAGTCAGTTGACCTTGATTATCTCTTTCGGAGTTAGACCAGGGCCATTTGCACAACACAAATATTGTTAAGGCTCAAAGTGAAAGTTACCACCCTAGAAAGAAAGGGAAAGAAGGGAGAGTAAAATCACTATTCCTTTACCTCTGTCTAGAAGATGCCCCCAAGAGCGAGGAACCTGGGAACGCTCAGACCACCCCTCAGCAAATTCCCAGGAACCCAAGAAATAAAAAAAAATGTTGTAGCCATCCCTCAGGGGAACCAAGGGCATCGAGAACCAGCATCAGGACATGACGTCTCCACGTGAAAAAACTATAGCAGGGGGCATGTCAAAAGCTAAGTCAAAGAAATAGAGAAATTCGACAATAGTGGAAAAATCTTCGTAACCTTGCAAGCACCAAAGAATGAAGAAGCTCATCAAAGTACCCCATCTCTTTGGGGAAAGACGCAAAGGACACAGACCAAAGAAGACAAGAATCCACTCTATGGCTTGATAAATAGACAAACGGAGACCCATCTCAAATGCGCCTTCAAAAATACAAACCTCCCGCCGATGGAGACGATTGCAAGGCTCGTTGAGTGAAGGAATCCAAATAGTCAAGCCATTAACCTCCTCCAAATCAGAAGTAGTAAAAATAGAGGAGAGCAAAAACACATAATACCACGGCTCATCGATCATGACCTAGGCATGCTGCTTGAACAGCGAGATAGGAGAATAAGCCATAGAGCCACAGAGCAAGCAAAACGCAAAAGAAACTCTAAGGAGAAGTAAGAGTGCGAAAAGTAAGAAGTTCCAAGATGAAAGGAAGTAGACAACACACAAAGATGAACAGGCAACCGTTACACTCCTATAATGAAGAAACTTCATAGCAGAAGTTAATAAAGGCGGCACCCTGATTAACCCTAATTAAGACATAATTTAATAGGTAAATTGTGTTAGTTGAATAAAGTAAACTAGTCAAAATAAATCAAATTAGAGTTAGTGTGTGAATAAAGGATAATGCATTAATTGTTGTTATTTTCAGGGTTTTGTACGTCAAAGCTACAAACTACTGGGGAGCCAATTGCATTAAAGTTACAAACTACTGGGGTGTCAATTATCAAAGCTCAAAACAAAGGGGGATCAAAGACCACCTAACAAGACTTTCACCCTCTCTTGTTGCCTATAAATACCACCCCTTAGGACTTGTAAAACATTCATCTTTTGGTAGTGAAAAATCCTCCAAAAGTATTATTGCTTTCCTTATTGCTTATTGCTTTCTTTAAGTATTGTTTTCTTTTATTGTATTATTACTTTCTTTTAATTTATTGTTTTCTTTTACTTTAAGTATTTCTTTCTTTTATCGTGTTATTGCTTTCTTTTATTTCAATTGATTGAGCTTCCTTATTTCCTTAGAGGAGTGAAACTCTTCCACTTTTCTAGAGCTTTACCAAAGCCGTAAAGGGTGGAATGTGATTCACTCATTCTTTGTCGAAGATCGGCTCCTTGTGTAAAGTGTTTTACTTGTAACTCCTCTACTTGGGGGGATGAGCATCACTCACTTTTCTAACTTTAACAAAGCCATGAAGAGTGGGTAGTTTCTCATCCAATCTTTAGTAAGAGGAGATTATCTGGAAGTTATATTTATGCATTTCGTTTATGCTTAGATCTAGTCTTTATTTCTTCATAATGTCTTCTCTTCATATTGTTGTCTTTATTTTAAGCATGAATAGCTAAATCTCTTAGTTGGCAAAACCAAGAGGAACCTCCACTTGGGTATACCATTTCAACTCATTCTCTTCTCCTCTTTCAGAGTTTAATGGTTCGGTTTGACTGGGTTGAGGGTGTATAACTTGGTGAGTCTTTGATATTCCATAGGCCTAGTCACGATTTATGCTTAGGTACTCATCAATTTTACCCCTAACTTCCCACGAATCAATCGTTCATTCATGCTCTATTAGAGGAGGGTTTCGAGTTGAGACGGTATTCCTATTGGAGTGACCTCTTGGATTTGTCAACATTTATTTTTCATTTTACTAGCATAAAAACAACTTCACCAAATAACTTTCAACAATCAAAGATTTTACACTTTCTTTCTCCCAAAATCACCTTCCTCCCGATTTACTTCCTTCCCCGTGGAAATGACCTTGGAATATCACCAAGTAAAACACGATCCACGAAAGTCTCCTTGCACTTGGAGAGCACTTTTGTTCACACATACTCACATGTGAAATCTCATTCATCCACCATTCTGTTGCCCTTTCTTTTGACATCATCCCTANTCTTTCTTTTATCGTGTTATTGCTTTCTTTTATTTCAATTGATTGAGCTTCCTTATTTCCTTAGAGGAGTGAAACTCTTCCACTTTTCTAGAGCTTTACCAAAGCCGTAAAGGGTGGAATGTGATTCACTCATTCTTTGTCGAAGATCGGCTCCTTGTGTAAAGTGTTTTACTTGTAACTCCTCTACTTGGGGGGATGAGCATCACTCACTTTTCTAACTTTAACAAAGCCATGAAGAGTGGGTAGTTTCTCATCCAATCTTTAGTAAGAGGAGATTATCTGGAAGTTATATTTATGCATTTCGTTTATGCTTAGATCTAGTCTTTATTTCTTCATAATGTCTTCTCTTCATATTGTTGTCTTTATTTTAAGCATGAATAGCTAAATCTCTTAGTTGGCAAAACCAAGAGGAACCTCCACTTGGGTATACCATTTCAACTCATTCTCCTCCCCTCTTTCAGAGTTTAATGGTTCGGTTTGACTGGGTTGAGGGTGTATAACTTGGTGAGTCTTTGATATTCCATAGGCCTAGTCACGATTTATGCTTAGGTACTCATCAATTTTACCCCTAACTTCCCACGAATCAATCGTTCATTCATGCTCTATTAGAGGAGGGTTTCGAGTTGAGACGGTATTCCTATTGGAGTGACCTCTTGGATTTGCCAACATTTATTTTTCATTTTACTAGCATAAAAACAACTTCACCAAATAACTTTCAACAATCAAAGATTTTACACTTTCTTTCTCCCAAAATCACCTTCCTCCCGATTTACTTCCTTCCCCGTGGAAATGACCTTGGAATATCACCAAGTAAAACACGATCCACGAAAGTCTCCTTGCACTTGGAGAGCACTTTTGTTCACACATACTCACATGTGAAATCTCATTCATCCACCATTCTGTTGCCCTTTCTTTTGACATCATCCCTAGGAGAGTGACACTCCCCTTTATTCATATACTATACATGCTAAAAGGTGATGTTTATAGGTTAGGAAACAACAAGNTTGACATCATCCCTAGGAAAGTGACACTCCCTTTCATTCATATACCATACATGCTAAAAGGTGATGCTTAGAGGTTAGGAAACAACAAAGAATTTTTTCAAGCACACCCTAGGAAGTTAGGTGAAGTTTGGTGGTCATGAATAATGAACTATTTATTGGTTTTCACTTCAACCTGTACACCTTGATCTAAGAGCATACGACATTAGCAAAATAGAACAACCAAGCTGAGCTAGCAGAAGGTCAAAAAGCCCAGATATGCATAGCTTTAGCTCGAACAGCTTGAGACTATCCAGCACGAGACCTAGCTGAACAGGTTAGGGCCTCCTTAAAGTAAGGGGGCAAGGAACGCCTAAGCAGCATCTGTACTCCAAACAGGTCAAGACCTCTTTGGAGTAGGGGCAAGGAAGGAACACGACATATAGCTAGCAACATTAGGAGAAAGTTAAAGGGCTTTTCATTTCAGTAAACAAGAAGGATTACACTTTACAAGCAAAAAAGAAAAAACAAATGAAACAACAGCGATAAAAAACAACGAAGGTTTCAAGGTTAGTTGGATGACTGAGCAGCACCATAGGGACCACTCGGAGAAAGGTCAAATCGAGGCTCGAACTGATCCAAGCAAAGGTTAGGAAACTTCTCACTACTTGGTCCTTGAAATTGAAAACCCATCTACAAATGCCTTGACGACCTCTCTTTTGGTCTTCTCGATCTCCTTGCGCTACTTCTCAACTAACTAGCGCTCAGAAGTCAAGGAATCCCTTAGCTCGACAATAATCGCACGAGATTCATCCACTAGAGCCATCAACACCACCTTATCAGTTTGAAAACAAATCAGCTCATCAGTTCAGGCATCAAGCTTCTATTGCATAGAGGCCAATTCTTTGACTGAGTCTTCAGCTATTCCCGCAAAGAGATCTCTGAGGTGGTAGTGGTAATCAACTGCCAAAAAACACAAGCCTTCTGTTTAAGAGCCGCCTTCAAATTGGACTCCAAAGATAAACCCTAATGCAATAGCTCAACATCCTTACTATGAACCTCTTTCCTCAGATGGTGGACTCCCTTCCGAGGGTACATACATGCATCGTAGCCTGAAGCCAAAATAGAAAACTAAGTCATTACACAATTGAAACAAAAGAAGTCGGAGACAAAAAAATACCATAAACCTTACCTCAAGAAGCGCATGTAAGACATCTTGACTCCTAGCTCTAAAAGGCTAGCTGACAGAGAGACGAAGATTGATCTCGTCATCCAGCAGGCTCCCTTTAAGATCCATGATCAAGGCCAGATTAAGCTAACTCGAGTTGGAACCCTCCACGCCAACAGACGAGGAACCACACCAAATTGGTCCTCCCTTAGGATTACTAGCCACTATCCTCGTCCTTGCTTCTTCAGATCTCGACACTAGTGTTGACACCAATGCTTTGTCAGCATCCAGTGGAACCTCTGGTGCAATAGGGAAGCTCGATATTAATGTGGGCATTGGCATTTCGCCAACATTAGGTGGAGCCCTGGATGCGACAACTAAAATCGACGCTAGAGCTGGGCTATCCTCCGTGAGCCTGACCCTTTTTGTCGAAGACCCCGGACCTTGTGCTCACCTCCTCTGGCCCACTTGTTCTACAATCATGTCTCTTTCGCTGATCAAGTATGTAAGGACTAGACCAAAAGGGCGATTAAAGGGTAAACTTGGGGGGGGGGGANAAATCGAGGCTCGAACTGATCCAAGCAAAGGTTAGGAAACTTCTCACTACTTGGTCCTTGAAATTGAAAACCCATCTACAAATGCCTTGACGACCTCTCTTTTGGTCTTCTCGATCTCCTTGCGCTACTTCTCAACTAACTAGCGCTCAGAAGTCAAGGAATCCCTTAGCTCGACAATAATCGCACGAGATTCATCCACTAGAGCCATCAACACCACCTTATCAGTTTGAAAACAAATCAGCTCATCAGTTCAGGCATCAAGCTTCTATTGCATAGAGGCCAATTCTTTGACTGAGTCTTCAGCTATTCCCGCAAAGAGATCTCTGAGGTGGTAGTGGTAATCAACTGCCAAAAAACACAAGCCTTCTGTTTAAGAGCCGCCTTCAAATTGGACTCCAAAGATAAACCCTAATGCAATAGCTCAACATCCTTACTATGAACCTCTTTCCTCAGATGGTGGACTCCCTTCCGAGGGTACATACATGCATCGTAGCCTGAAGCCAAAATAGAAAACTAAGTCATTACACAATTGAAACAAAAGAAGTCGGAGACAAAAAAATACCATAAACCTTACCTCAAGAAGCGCATGTAAGACATCTTGACTCCTAGCTCTAAAAGGCTAGCTGACAGAGAGACGAAGATTGATCTCGTCATCCAGCAGGCTCCCTTTAAGATCCATGATCAAGGCCAGATTAAGCTAACTCGAGTTGGAACCCTCCACGCCAACAGACGAGGAACCACACCAAATTGGTCCTCCCTTAGGATTACTAGCCACTATCCTCGTCCTTGCTTCTTCAGATCTCGACACTAGTGTTGACACCAATGCTTTGTCAGCATCCAGTGGAACCTCTGGTGCAATAGGGAAGCTCGATATTAATGTGGGCATTGGCATTTCGCCAACATTAGGTGGAGCCCTGGATGCGACAACTAAAATCGACGCTAGAGCTGGGCTATCCTCCGTGAGCCTGACCCTTTTTGTCGAAGACCCCGGACCTTGTGCTCACCTCCTCTGGCCCACTTGTTCTACAATCATGTCTCTTTCGCTGATCAAGTATGTAAGGACTAGACCAAAAGGGCGATTAAAGGGTAAACTTGGGGGGGGGGGACTCACCAAAAAGATACAACGCAATATTAAAGGAATGGTAGATACTTACAGTTATTCGTGTGAGACCCGATCATGCATTACATGCATATTAGCATAGTTATGTGGGCTAAATTATAATTATGGAAAACTATTAAAGGGTTAATTAAAGTAAACCCTTCATAGCCATGATGTGTATGAGCATACATCGAGTATGTGTACCCTGTTAGTGATGTATTAGTGAGACCCACTTATAGAAATTGCATGTGTAAAAATAGTAATGGGTCAATTTTGGAATCACTTAAGAACTTGGGAGAGACAAGTGTAATTATTAAATTAGAATGATTCATCCATATACGTGTCAAAATATGAAGTGGGTGAGTCAATTAGAACGCTAGGTGGATGTGTGTGTGATTCCTAAGGTGTGGAGTATGTGTGTGTGTAATTTAAGGTGTAGTAGTGTGTGTGTTTAAAACATGATTTAGTGTGTGTATGCCTGTTAAACTCCCCTAAAATCGTGAGTGAGGGAGAGCAAGAGAGAGAGAAGAAAATATATGTGTGTGTGTCTTCTTAAGCAGTGAGCAAGGAGGGAAAGAGAAACCAAGCTTTTGGTGGGTGTTTCTAGTTCAAACCGAGAGGGAGAAGAAAGAAGAAAAAGGGAGGAACTTGGGGGAAACCTCAATGCCAAATCGAGAGTGAGAGAGGGCAAAAAGAAGGTGGGAAAAGAAGAAGAAAGCAAGAGAAAGGTATAAAGGGCTGTGTGTGTTCATTTTAGTGTGTATGTATGTGATTAATTTTAAGCGTGTGTGTGGGTTGTTTTATTTAGATTTCAAAAGATACTTTGTGTGAGTCTAATTAAGTGTGTTAAGCATAATTAAAGGGCTATTAAGAAAGGGTTTCAAGTGGGTATTCAACCGGGTGTGAGAAAAATGTGAAAAACAAACATTTGAGATGCTCGGGATGCTTTTAGTGGGCTAGGTTGAAACTGAGATTTGTGGGAGTGAAATTGAGGGTTTAAAGGTTCAATTAAGGGGCTATTCTACATGATCAAATGTGTGTGTGAGTTTAAGTTTGGATGTTTTAAAAGAAAAGTGTGATAGAAGTTGAAAACGGGTGCCGGTAATGTCGAAATCCTGATTTACAAACGTTATTATCACATACGTGAATTTTGAAATGTGTGAAAATGGACCTCCAGTCAATGTGTTTGAACTAATTAACCCTAATTGTGATTTATATGAGTGATTTTGGAGGTTTGGAAAGAAAATGTGATCCCTAAATCTAGTGTGTCAGTGTGTGAGTGGATAGTGCAGTAACCGGGGTTATCGGGGCACTTTGGGTTAAATCATTTTGCATTCATTAGTATATGATTAACTATTAAATGTGATAAATATATTGATATTGTAATTATAAATGTGTTAGGTGGAACAGGTAGGACAGTCGGTGTTGAGACAAATACGGTAACACCGAAGGGATCCACCGGTAGGTCCGAAGGCCCGTAAATCTGTGCACTTGAGGTGGGTATATATCTTTATATGTTTTGAAAATGCTATTATAAGATGATAGAATTTAATAGCAATTATCCAGGATTATGTGTTACGTGCTTATGTGATTAAATGATGCTTTATACTGTATATTGTGTATTATAAAATGTGGCGCACTGTCTGAGACAGGAGCGTCGATGCCTGATCACTGGGTGTGCAGTGGTGTGCTAGCACTGTGGTGTTGTGGCTTGTGAATTCTTTGAAATTGGATTGTTGTTATTGTTTGATATGTGTATCTACATAGTATCTATCTACTTCTGTGTATTGCTATCATTTCCATTTCATATATAACATGCATACTTACTGAGTGCCTGGTTTAGCTTACACCCCTATAGTTTCTCTTTTTTAGGCACTATAGAGGGAGTTAGAGATTAGTCCACTGTTCAGTCGATTGAGTACTGTCTCGTGGAGTTGAGTTCAGTCCAAAATGGTCCAGCGAAGCTAGTGTGATATTATGCAGGTTGTATGTCTGTTAATTATATATTTAGTTTTAATGAATTAAGTGATATAGGCTGAGTGTTTGTATAATTATTTGCTGGGTTGTATATTATATTGAGTGAGAGATTATTATAGCAGGTTTATAGTGTATAATTGTAAACAGACTCAATAAGCGTACTTTGTGATGTATGCTATGTAGGTATGGAATTCTGTATATGTATATGGCCTAGAACAAAAATTGGTACATGTGCTATATATGGTACAAGTTATGAGTCAGGTATTGCAACCATGCTTAATGACTAAGGTGATAGGCGGTGTTGTTGTACCTGTGGGAGTGTCTTATTAATCCGGTTTATATATGTAAACAAGTGTATCAAAAACCTAGTCGCGTCTCATCCTTGGGAGATTGGGTTCGAGCGTGACAAATTAGTTGGTATCAAAGATAGAGTTTAAAGTTTTGTAGTCAAGTTGAGTCTAGTGTGATAGTAGACTTAGGGATTGGTCTGTTTAAATGAGGTGTTAAAGGTCTATGTGAGTGTGTGTAATATATATTGCTTGTCATCATTACAAATATGCGATACTAACATTTATTACAACGATATATTGAGGGGGAAAGGTCCTGTACTTGAGCTGGAGATAGGGAAAAAAGACCCCAGGAGGAGGAGGAACTAGGTGATCAAGGAGCTAGGCAACTGTGGGAGGAAGCAGCTAAGTATTTTGAGCAACACACAATACGAGTAGAGATAGTGAAGCCCAGGGATACATTGTACGAGCAGTTTAAAAAGTTAGATCCACCAATATTCACGGGAACCGCAGGTCCATTGGAAGCAGAGAATTGGTTGCGGCACATTGAGAAGATATTCAGGGTGATGGGAGTTGGCGAGGAAGATAAATTATTGTTGGCCACTTTCATGCTAACAGAGGAGGCCCAATATTGGTGGAAGGCCATGGAGAGAGCATTACTAATAGTGTGCACTAAGGGGGAGGCCAGTTCAGTTCCTAGAGTTCCCATATGACGACAGTTTACAAATGCTTTCGACCAGAAGTATTTTCCCTTGAGTTATCAGTACCAGAAACAAAATGAATTCTTACATCTGTAGTAAGGAAATCAGTCAGTGCTGGAGTACGAGGGTAAATTTAGTACTTTGTCCAGATTTATGCCTTCTATTGTAGCAGATGAGGGGAAAGATGTAGGAGATTCCAGATGGGGCTACACTATAATATTCGATCCCGTTGATGCTAGAGTTAACTATATTATTATAATTATACAACAAAGCCTTGATTTTGGAAGCTGATATGAAAGAGATGGAAAGTGCAAGTGAGTAGGAAAGACAGGGAGGATATGAGCCAAGTGGATAGGGTTACAAAGGAAGTTCTTTTAGCAGTGCCTGGAGAGAAATATTTTCAAAGGGTACAAGCAAGAAGATATTAGGAGTTCCATTCCAGATTCGAGGACAGGTAGTGAGTGGATCATCTTCCTTTGCACCGGGTCGAGAGATGGGATAGTCTTGGGGGAGTTCAGTTACTTGTTACTGTTGTGGACAGATTGGGCACATTATACGGAACTATTCTATAGGAGGACCAAGACCTGCTGTATCACGGCATTGCTTTTTATGTGGTCAAGAGGGACATCTGCAGAGGGATTGTCCGCAGTATTCTACCTAGAGTTCATCAATGGGCAGTGCATCTATAGTGTCCCAAGAAGCAGCGAATGGTAGAGGTCGAGGACGAGGAGGCAGTACTGGAGGTGGCACTAGAGGTAGTGGTGCTGGTGGCAGTGGACCGAGCGGACCTAAGGCTGGAGGTCGTGTATTTGTACTTATCTAGCGGGATGCTCAGGCAACCCCGAATGTGGTCACATGTATGATATCCATTTTTAGTCAACGAGCACGAGTACTTATAGATTCAAGTGCCACACGTTTATTTATATCACTTTCATTCTGCATGCATGTTGATAGACTATCTGTCATATTAGACTGTGGATTGACTATAGCTATTCCCACGGGTGATTGTGTGAGGGCTGGGGTAGTATCTAGGAGGTGCCTAGTTGAGGTGGGTAATAGAGAATTACTTGTAGATTTGTTGCCTCTTGAATTCCAGGATTTTTATTTGATTTTGGGGATGGATTGGTTGGCTGCATAGCATGCCACTATTGATTGTTTTCGCAAAGAGGTGGTGTTTAGAATCCCACATGTTCCTTTGTTTCGGTTGTTTGGAGAGTGACACCCTGAGTCGAAGAATTTGATATCTGCAATTAAAGCCAGGAAAATACTCAAGAGAGGATGATATGGGTACTTGGCTTATGTGAAAGATACTTAGAGAGGTACTCTTGAATTGAAGAATATTCCTATTGTTAATGAATTCGTTGATATGTTTCCTGAAGAGTTACCAGGGTTACCAGTTGATCGGGAGGTGGAATTTACTATTAAGTTTGTGCAAGGAACTAGTCTCATATACATTACTCCATACAGGATGACTCCAGCTAAATTGAAGGAACTTAAAGTGCAGTTGCAAGATTAGTTAGATCGGGGATTCATATGGCCTAGTGTATCTCATTGGGGTGCACTTGTATTATTTGTAAAGAAGAAGGATGGCAACATGAGGTTATGCATTGATTACATACAACTGAATAGGGTGACTATCTGGAACAAGTATCCATTGTCGCGTATCAATGATTTGCTGGACCAGCTATAAGACGCTCGGGTGTTTTGAAAGATTGATCTTCGGTCAGGTTATCATCAGTTGAAAGTAAGAGATAGTGATATATCGAAGGCTATTTTTCGGACCAGGTATGGACACTATGAGTTTCTAGTGATTTCATTTGGTGTGACT